CTTTCCCCCCCCCCCCCTTCGCGGTTCTTCGCGTTTCCACGTGTTCCACTTGGTCCCCCGCGATTATTCTGCCGCCATCGCTCAAAGGCCAACGGCAGTCGCCTTGGGGATAAGACATGAAGAATTGAATATTTCATTGTATCACGGGAGCGGGAGATTATTCTATTTTGAATTTGACTGTGATACATACATTTCTTGCTTCTCTTTCATCTGGCAAGAGATACTTTTCGCGTTGCTTAATTGAACGTCGAGTTTCACGGGATTGATTGACGAGCAGCACGTTGTTTTGTCTTTCTTTGTGAAAAGGAGCAACGTAAATACTTGACGATTCGTTACTCTGTGCGTAGTAATTTTTTTGATTTAAACAAATTTTGCTTTACGTCACTTTATATTATTTACGGTAGGGTTATCGGTTCACGCGCTTCTCGTTACGGCAGGGTACGCAGCTTTAATATCTTTAATTCGAAATTTTTTATACTGGAATTTAAATTCGTCACTCAAGTTGGCGGGAGGGTGATTAATTTACGGTTAAACAGGATTAACGAAACTAGAATATATTGCGTTGCTGCGTGAGAAATTGCTTGAAATTTTTGTAAAATTTAAAATAAAAATATTTAATTTTTTTTTATCTCCGGCCCTGTATATCGTATAGATTCTCGATATTGTATAAATTACGCGTTATTGTCCATCTTCATTCATTTTATATTGAATTTGTCAGAATTTTATCGATACGTCGGGACTGCAATATACTTTTTATAGCGGAGCCTAAACTTTGTCGATATATAGGTGGCTGACTAGAATTGATATAGCAACCGTGTCAAAAAGGTAAAAATCGCGACAGGTACTACGTAGTTCGTTTTTGAAACGAATACAAATCGATTTGGTTTCACAGAAATTTCTTTAAAACTCTTCTCGCCCGCGCGCAATTTACACTTCCTAATTGAAACGTGTAAGTAAACTGTGTGCTCTAGCCGTAAAAGATAGCAAAAAATCAAGTACCTATTCACCGAGTAAAGTACTTATCTGCTAACATGATTACCAACCTAGTGCAGGTAAAAGCTGAAAAGGAAAAAGAAAACTCATCATTTTTTTCCTCCCCCATTTCACGCACAGGGCAAGGACGAATTCGCAAAAAAGCAAACACGGAAGTTGTACCGGTGCAATTTGCAGCGACGATGCCAAGTAAATTAATGATTTCACTGTATGTATACCTGTATTTGCTATATCTTGTTACCTGGTACTCTGCACGCGGTGCTTTGTTCGAACAAAGGAACAATAAAACTAACCTAGCGACATCATGACGAAATTGCAGCTGCTCCTGACGAGTGGACCGAGCATTATTTTCCTCGCGAAAGAAAAACTTCGGCTTTCCCTACAAGTACACGCTACTGAAAATTCGTTCGATCAAGCGGCGACACCAATTTTAAAGGAACATAAAGAAAAAATAAAAATATCAAAGGGACCCCAAGGTAAATTTCTCTCGGGTGAATAATCGAATTCCTATCGAACGGTTTGATCCGAGCTTTGATCTTTTCGAAAGTGATAATCCAATTTACGTGCTGCTTTCAGGAAGCCCGAGAAAGCTTCGTGAACTTTCTATCAATCACCATAGACAATCAATAGCCCCGGTAATATATTCCAACTCCAATTTCCCATGCCAAAGTCGGACAGTCCAGTCGGGTTACAACGATCACGAAATAACGAAAATGGCCGAGTGGTTGGTAATGATGCTCGTGAAAAACAAATGGAAAACCAAGGGAGGAAGGGTGAAAGTAGTAGGTGGCGGGAAAAAGAAAAGCTTTTTAAAAACTTTCAAACGCCGTTATTAAGAGACCGATGTGATATATGAATATGCTTTTCGAATGAAACTGACTGTAGAGCATTGTCTAATGATACGTAAGCGTGACAAATAACTGCCCTTGAAAAATTCAACAGCTGTACGTACCAGAAATCTTTGTATCCTGTATAAGGTAGAAGCTGATATTGGATTTTGGTACGTGGCCGTTGACATATAGCTTTCGATACGTGTGCTTTTTATCAAGCGGAAAAGACGCCGACTTCGGGCTAATACATTTTCAGGAGAAATTTACTCCCGGCTACAAGATTCTCCCGATTTCAGCTCCATTTACTCCATTGACTTACGAGCGTGTTAGATTGACGGGTACGACGTAGACCCCTGCGCCATCTGCGTGTAAACGCTCGAACCACGTAACTTTTTATGGAGCAAAACAAGTACAGATTTCTTTTTTTTTCCAAGACTGCTGCCAGCAATAACGTCCATTCTTTTTGTACGGCCTGCTTGTCCACTATTGTTTATTCATTCTACGTCGTGCTGCACGTTATCCTATTTTTTTTTAAATAAAAATAAAAGATTCGAGTAGTCGGGTGACTCGTTGAAAAATCCATTTTTCACGGAGACTTTTTACGTTTCGGTATCCACCTGAGCTTACGACGTCTTTGTTTTTAGTACTGATAAAACTGGAATCAGTCGTGACACTCGTAACTTTTCTCGCAAGCGACCAAGACGCTGCAAAAGTTATATATACGTAGTATATGTATACATCGAGAGTACAAAGCCGAGTGTGCATTTGGAGCAACGAAGTTAACGCGGACTGACTGTGCACTGTAAGTTCCAGACGTATCGCGTAGAATAATAGACGGCGTCAACAAGGTAGGAAATGCAAATGCTTGGAAACTCTGATATTCGAAATTTATTCTTGAATTCAAGGAAATTCGAAAATGCATAAATAAGTATGCACCATGTGTTTTACAGACACATCAAGAAATATGAGTTCAGCTTCTAGTGTCTTTTAGTTTTATCACTTTTTTTTTCATATATTTTCACTCCTTCGTTTTTTCTTCTTTTTTTATTTTTACTTTTCTTTCTTTAATATTTTTTTCACATCCAATCAATGCTCCTCTCGATACTTGTTCGTAGGTGCCACGTTAGATCGAACGTGGCACGGTTTTTTTTTTTATACGATGATCACACCAAATCCAAGTGCCAAACACAAACACCATGTATAATGGGATAGTCTGTGGACCCCCCTTTATCCACAATGATCGAAATCTTGTTCCATTATCGGTGAACGGCTTTAATCGAGAGGCAACTGTGTAAATTTGAAATTCGTTTACACAGAACCGTCGGCTGTGTCGAGTAGAAGCAGCGGTTACTCGTTTCTATCTTACGCTTCATTTCGTCCCCTATTTCCTGAAGCTTCGTCCACACGAACAGTGCCGATAAAGAATTTTACTGAGCGACTCTCATTGAACTTCCCTCACGTTCGAATATCGGAAAAAGGGTTGCCAAATTCCGTCCCTTGGGGTGCAAAATATTAATAATCCCTCCTAATCCTCTCGCACGCTTTGTAATTATTTATTATGAACCAACCTTCATACATGTCAATCCATACGTAACGATACGACACGAACGAGATTAATTAAAAACCAAAAACCCCGATGTCAAAGTTTGACCTGAATAATAAATACGTCAAGGGATATACCAAATAAATAATTGAAACGAATTAATGTCCACAATTGATTCAGCTGAAGTTACAAATAAGAAAAAAACTTGAGATTGACAATTTTTAATATTACAATTTATTATGTATTTTCATTCATGCGTATTATACCTTCTACAGTTACGTCAACGAAAGGGAACGACTCCTTCGTATAAATAATATATCGCAATGACATTTCCGGATGCTGATCTGACTCAAACTGTTCCCAGATGTCGACATCAATGGATTCCTGGACCTCCTGGGTCAAGAACTGATCTCGACCGCTTGCGTGGGTCTACTGGAACGTGCGTTTCGATGTCTCGGAAATGACCTATCGGCCTTTTTAACGACCCTCGACGGTGTCAACGACGTGGTCCAGCATCAGTCAGGTTCCGAAACGGAAGCTGAGTTCGTCTGCATCGCCACCCAGGGAGCGCTCGAACTTCACTTCACAACCGATCACCCGTCCACAGCTTACCTATTGGTCGGCAGCCTCAAAGGAATCGCGAGGCAATTTTACAACGACAAAGCCGACGTCTACATACTACCGGACCCGTACAACGCAAAGTTTTTTAGGTAAAAATTAAGAAGCCAAAAAGTTCAAGTATTATTTTATTAACAAAGCGAACGAATAAAAAGCATCAAAAGTATTTAAACTCCAGAGGGAAAAAGTGAGCTTGACCAACGGAGTTAAAAGGACTTGTAGCGAGTTCCCGTCGGAATGTGAAACAAAGTGACGATGGGGGAGTTTGTCGTTTTACGCGTTTCCTTGTTTTCCTTTTACTTTAAGATCCTCGTCCTTTTTTTTTTACCGTGCCGAACTCCACTCACCACCCCAAATAAAATATGTCGAAATCCTACTTCCCGTGAATATTGACTCTTCGAATGAATATTCGAACACGTTATTTCCGACGTAAAAGCCACAAATCTTTTGTAAAGCAACATTACACGCTGTACTGCGCAATATTTTTCTTACCTATCGATCGAACCGCCGCCAAATTCCGAGAGTAAACGGCTTATCGATAAAAGTAACAATGCGTTATAAAAAAAAATGTCTACGAATCTCTTCGTGATAATTTCAACGGGTCAATAGTCTTTGCGTACAGTTTACGCAATACTCTGTATCACAATTTATGTACTTTGTGCGATATGGTATCTACAGTCGCGTCTCATATAAATAATGTTAATATGACTCATTACGATTTCAGATATCGCATAACGCCAGAACGCTACGACCAAGCAGAGTCTGACCCCGACGACGATTTGGACGTGATAACAACGCAATTCCGTCCACTGTCAGCCGTGGCCTCGGATCTTCGTATGGGCGTAGCAAGCTTCTGCAAAGCGTTTCCATGGCACTTCGTCGTCGACCGCGATCTCGAACTGGTCCAGCTGGGCGCGGGTTTCATGCGGATCTTCGGTCACCATCTGAATTGTCTCGGCCGAGAGATATCCACGTATTTCGTCTTCACGCGGCCACGTGGCGTCACGCTGACCTTTCATGAAATTCTCAAGCGGGCCAACACGCCGTTTGTCCTGGCTCTGCGGAAACCACAAGGCACCGACAAATTTCCGGCTGAGGTATATGCCCACGGTATACGTACGCTCGAGCTAACACAGCCAAACCCATGACACGACCTAGGGGATATCGCAGGCGAATAAAACAGATCGACGGGTCACGGCTCGGGGTCTACTGATTTTACGAGCACGCCTTTCAGTTACTGTCTACCGGAAATACGTCATAAAGTGGTTATCTTGCGTTGGAAGACGATGAAAGGATATAGGTATAGGATATCGATTTCTCTCAATACAAGAGTCACTTGACTCACTTAGTATTATTTCTCAGCGGCTGTTACGCGTGGATATAAATATACTGGAATATACTGTACAGAGTTATTCACTTAAAAGCGCACCACGGATACTATGGCATTGGTTACTACCATAGAGATCAAATGGACGGGTTAACTTCGGACGGTGCCTTTCTACTGAATAACCCTGTATATGATAGTCGAAATTAATTGCAGCATTCTCGAAATTATATGTAATTATTAGGGGCCAAATTTGAATTGTTACTCGTACACGATAAGAGCATATCGATTTGCAATCGTAAGGGTAGATGCGAGTTTACTTTGGTTTATTGTGAACTACCCTTTAAAATTCCAAGCTTTAATCGAGCGATAAAACTTATATAAAATTGTATCGATTTTATCGTCATTCGGGATGGTAATCAATGATAAGCCAGTCGTCACTCCGTACTGCAAAGTGTCTCAATGTATTTTTATATATTATTCTAATAAGCAGCCAGGTGAAACTGAGGAAAATATTTTTTTATTAAAGGGACTGGAGTTGAAGGGTCAAATGGTCCATTGTCCAGAATCCGACTCGATCCTCTTCGTGAGCTCGCCTTTTCTAAATGGCTTGGAAGGACTCACAGGACGTGGACTTTTTATCTCGGACATTCCTCTTCACGACGCCACCAGGGACGTAATCCTTGTTGGGGAACAAGCAAGAGCTCAGGTGAGCGATAAGAATTAATTTCGGACAATATTAAAAGCGTCGCGTCACCCGTACCTCGACATGGGCACAGTCCTACCTAACTTATAAATCCACCCTTACGAGAAGCTGCTCTGGGCTGAATAAACAAGAGGTCCTGGTCCAACATTAATTACAGGAGACGAGAAATACGAAGATTCACGGATCGTATGACGCAATTTGAAAAAAAAAAAACATGGCCGACCTTTCCTCGCTACGACCCAATCCCAATTAATCCTAACTCGTGCCGTTCGTTTCGCGTGTAATAAATCATAGGTGGATATTTAATAAGTATTTATATACAGTCACACTTTTCCCGCCTCCCCTCGTCCCGGCCACCCCTTATTTCGAACGGGAAATCAATTTCGGGATTCCCGTCGGAGCCGATGTCGTTAGGAGCTTTTCATCCGAAAACGCTGATGGGTATTTATCTTAGCGTGGCACGGCGAATGAATAAAAGAACTACCCTGGTAAATTCGACATATCCAAGGTATATATTTGTCACGTAGAATTCCACGCCTATTCGTTGCCTATACGTATGAGGTACATTAGGGTCGTGGGACGAGGATAATTGAAGAATAAAGATAAAAATTCAAAATCTTCCTACGACCGTGAATTTTGTCTATATACCGCGTAGTTACTTTTTAAGGGATGAATTCTAACCTAACCTAACAAATTTTCAATGGGTATATTTTACACTTGTCGCCACCGTTCAAAGATTGGGTCAACCCATGACTTATACGTATATACATCACAATAAAATTTCAAAAAACCAATCGACCATCCAAATTCATCCCCTTATCGCGTACAATATTTTGAATATAAATATCTTTTGCGTGCCACGTATATATATATATATATATATATATATTATAGATACCTTCTTATCGTGCAGGATGGCCTAAGGCGACGCATGGACAAATTGAAAAGTTCCATCGAGGAGGCGAACAGGGCTGTCGACGCCGAGAGGGCGAAGAATGTCAGCCTGCTGCATCTTATCTTTCCACCGGATATAGCGAAGCGCCTGTGGCTGGGTGAGTCGGCGTCTACTGTTGTCGGGACGCCCATCCCGGAATTTATCACTATGGCTTTTCACGCGTCCAAGAGTCTACGGCGTTTGGCTCTGGGCTTGTGTGTACATATGTGCACAGGTGTATGGGCTTCATGTACAGTAACGTCCAATTGAAGTGGAATACCTGATATTTTGTGTATTTCTATGAGACTATGATCGATTTCGAAAAACCAAAGACGTATTTTTTAGGAAATTTCATTCCCGTTCGAATGGTATAGGTTTCATCCCGATCAGAGACAAAATGGCCGAACAGCAGGGGTTAGAGTTGAAATAGTGCAATTTAGGACTTTTTGAAAAGTGAAAGAACTAGTAGTTCAAGAAGAAAATTCATATTTCTAATTATGGCACGAGAAAAAGCATCCTTCGGCAGTCAAAAAACACCACCATTGAACCCCTGTAGCATCACTCTAGGGGGAGCTACACCCCCTTCAAGTGAAAACACTTAATTAGCACCCGAAGCTTCCCCGCCATTTTGTATCCGATCGGGATGAAAACCATTCGAACGGGAAGGAAATTTCCTAAAAAATATGTCTTCGGTTTTTCGAAATCGGTTATAAATTCACAGAAATATACGAAAATTCAAGTTTTCCACTTCAATTGGACGTTACTGTATATATATGCACACGTATCCAGTAAATTTTCCTACAAATCCAGAATTATGGAATTTTCATCGAATTTACGTAAGACATATCTTATATGGTTGATATTACAAATCCAACGTTTTCATGAACTATTTGGATATGAGATTAAATATTGTGCGAGATGTGTTTTTTATCAATCGTAGGGTCAATAGGGACTAATTATCCGTCTGAATTGTTGATCACGTATCAGTGTATGTTGATTGATTCGTCTGTTATACCATATTGATAACGTAATACCGGAATGACAACCAGCAAAGTGCGATTCACTGTTGGCCTCAATGGCTGTTAGCAGATTAATTTGGCGTTAAACGCGGTACTGTAGTGTTATGGATTATAGCAGGTTATAGAGGAAGACTGAAATTAAACGTAAGCCTGGAAACTGGGTGAACCTAGGTCCATTTATGATCTCTTGTCAGTTTACCTATATTGGATAATATTTTATTAACGGTACCTTACTCCATTTATTCAAGAATGGCACCTGACTCACGTTTTACGAGCTCAGAGTAACATGGCACCGCCCAACGTGCAGTCGCAATATCCGGCAATGTCAATTTCTGTCTTTTAGGTGAAACCATCGAAGCCAAGACTTACGCCAACGTTACGATGCTCTTCAGTGACATTGTTGGCTTCACGGCCATCTGCTCCACCGCGACGCCAATGATGGTCATTAACATGCTGCAGAATCTCTATGAACAGTTTGACCTCTTCTGCGGTCAATTGGACGTCTATAAAGTATGTATATATATATATATGTATATGTATATATATATATAGACCTAATGTTAAAAATTCAATTGAGTTAATTACTTCTACTCGCGAGGTACACAATTTCTGTTGGTAGAGAATGATCATTTTAACGTTCCTTTTGAAATGATAAAAATTAACATTTTTCAACTTTTCACATTATTTTATAGCCGCACAATTTGAAAAAAATTAATTTCTTTGACATCGTCTCTGTACGTACGCGACGGGTGGTAACCGAGATACTAATTGTTTGTAGCTCATAAAATTCTTAAGCACCGTCAGCCACAGTAATTTTCTTCCACGGGTCTAGAATACGTTATTGGAGCTATTCCCGTAAGTGGAGCACTGTGCTTTCTTATATATTTTTGTTACTTGCTGTACTTCCGTCAGTGTCCGGTAATGCGGTCAGGTTAATTTAAACGTGATCGATGGACCGAGATACATTGTTTATAATGACAGTCTTCGTAACAATTTAATTTCCGAATTTATTTTCACATACCTCGGCACTGTAATTTCGTTTACGGTTGTCGTCAAGTGAATACATCTGGAAATCACTGAACTCCATTATTAAGCAATACGAATTTCTCGATTACAGTGCCAATAATTAACATTGATTTTTCTCCAATCGTTAGGTCGAAACCATCGGCGATGCCTACTGCGTTGCGTGCGGACTTCACAGAAACACGAAGACCCATGCACAGCAAATCGCGTGGATGTCCCTCAAGATGATACAAACGTGTTCCCAACATTTGACACACGAGGGCAAACCGATAAAGGTACGAAATTATTCGTACGGTCTGGATATACTACGTGCTACCAGAATGGAATTAGTGAACCATGTGCACTCGTAAGGTTTCTTCGGGTTGAATTGTGCAGTAGCTATTAACCCGTCGGTAAAGTAGATTCCTAGCGAGGTGCATACTGATGCGTCGCTACCGGACGACAATTAACACTCGTAAACCTCATGTAAGCGAATTATGCTAAACGAACTGGAATTCTCCATGGTGTACCATTGGGATTTTGAAATTCAAGACTGTAAATTAGTAAAGCAACTAAATTATAGGTTTCATTACGTACATTGGTTTGAGTCTCGGCTGACGTTTTCTTCGCGCGGTAAACCGTCGAATGGGACTGAACCATAGTACCTTGAGAACTAATGACTGAGGTTAATTATTACAAGCATTCGCATGCTCGTTACGTTAAACGACCTACCATAATTCTTACTGAAGACAATTAAAGCGATAGTTGGGACAGGGCATACGTTTGCATAGGATCTTAAAGCGAGTACACGGCGTAATATTGAGACAGTGAAAATCAAGATAGAATTGCTATGAGCAAAAAAAGTGAAGTCGAACTTCTTTCTTTTTTCAATTAATACATTTCTCTCGACTATTTCGATTGGTTCGTAAATATGGAGGCACGAGGTGAATTATGTATCAGGACAGAATCGAATGGTATTTTCTTTGTTCCAGGGATACGCGAATCATCCCTACGGGTTATAAATCATTGCTTTGCTTATTCGATCAGGAAATTCAGGGTCTCCAGGGAGGTTATGTCCGTTATCTCTTTTGTTGGTCCAATAAAGATTAACTACTTTGCGAATTGCTCGCGCCCGACATTACCGTCTGTCTACTATAGGCAGATAGTCAATTGTTTATTATTCGCGAGTTGAAAACTATTAAAAGTTTTCTCGTTTAAAAATAATTTTTCTATCGGGAATAAAAGACCGGATATCAGGGTGCAATGATGATGCTCTTAGTGAGTCGGATGCGATTCCACGTATAAAACGCGTAATAAGATATCTGGTTATTTAAGAATAAGAAATCTACGCCCCCCCTTTTTTTTTAATAAATTCCAATTTGCATTTATGATATTTTCTTGGTTTCATAAAAATATCATTGGAAATTCATGAATCCTATCATAAGACGGCTGAAGGAGGCGCAATTATTATTTTCTATAAAATATTTGAATATCGCAAATGAGGAGGTTCGATATGCAGTGTAATAATTTTGAGTAATCAGTCAGAGTCAATTAGCATAATAACACTCTAGACTTTACCCATCCGTTCAAAAGTGCAGTTCCCTTCCTTATCGTTTATTCTTTGAATTCACGAGGCATTTAATTACGTTTAATAAATGTTCCCTGTCACGACCGGGAAAGACGGTTGCAGGTGTATTCAGCCGAAATGCGCTCGTTCGTTATTATACTGGGTGCTAATTAAAATAACGAATCAAATATCTTATTGAATCTACTTTCAAATAAATTTTAACTTGGACCGCGTTCAAATATCCCGCCGCTTCTTGCAAGTTCGTTTCTACTATCGTGTGTTCCGTGAGAACATTTATAACGCTATAAATTACAGTATTTGTCTTGACGAAATATTGACTCTTGAGAATTGAGAGTCAACGTTCATTTGTAGTGTACTGGGTACTGATGTTAATTTTAATTTTTTAATGAACTAAGCAATAAAGATAACCTACTTGACTGTCTTTTTAATAAGTACCCTAAATTATACAAGAAATAGAGTGAGGGCTTGTTGAAGTATATATATTTAAATATTATTAACATATTATTATGGACATTTTATTAATTATTTATTTTATTTTAGATGCGTATTGGAATCCATACCGGAATGGTACTTGCTGGAGTAGTGGGAAGAAAAATGCCAAGGTATTGCCTTTTTGGACACAATGTCACTCTTGCGAACAAGTTTGAATCGACCAGTGAACCACTTCGGATCAACGTCAGTCCCACCACGTATTCGTAAGTCAAGAAATGTTAACGTTGTACATACGATCATATAGCAAATTTGGTTGAATTTTATAGCAATACTATAAACATCACTCCCATAGACATACACGTGTAGGAGCTAAGAGCTATCAGGTATTGCTTATCAGTAATAAAAAAAAAAAAAAAAAAAAACAGAGAAATCGATTTGAAAAGCAGTAAAAACATAGTAAAAAAAAAAGAAAAAAAATTCCATTTGATTTCGAACAATCAACGATCTAACTCCGTTTGTACGAAACGTACGAGCTTGATGTTTCTTTGTTGTCCGAGTAGACGGTGAATCGTAGGCTTTTTCTTTTTACCTTCGTAAGGAAACCAAACAGCTGCTTTGTGTCGATATCGAATAGGCAATTTTCCTTGAAATGTTACAGGTGTCTTATTCAGAGGCCAGGATTCATATTGGAGTCGCGGACCAAGGACAATCTTCCAAAGGAAATGCCAGCAAGTGCGTCGGGCACGTGTTACTTTCTGAACGGTTATCATCACAGTGACGTGGACAGAGACGAACCCCTGGACGTGCACGTGCAGGCGGCCATTGCTGAATTAGGAATTACCGGCAGCATGTAGATAATTTGTTTTATATGAGGGAGTTAATATGTAAAAGAAAAGGAAACAGAAGTAAGCATAGATTAAGTAAAACAAGATGAGAGGGAGTAAAGAGAAAATATACAAATAAGAAAATTTGTCGATCGAGCGCAGGAATCGTACGAAGGCAAATGTTAGATATTGTCGCGCGATAACGAGACGTCACTTACCGACGGTCGATAAAGAAGTTAGAGAATTTCTCGCACCGCGGCTGAACCCACGTAATGTCAAACGATAGAAAATATTCGTAACGTTGACACTCTGCATGACACTGCGCTAAGCATTAATTTGTACGCAAGAACAATGAGTATTAGGTTCAAGCCATTATTATAACGAGCAAGCAAATAAATGGCACTGAGCATAAAAGATATCGAAAAATTATTTTTACGTCGTTCACATCCCCATTGTGCTGCGATCTTTTGTACAGACCCATGCGTGAATAGATTTTCATTTTATCAAAATAATCAGAAAACCATCAGAGCTCGTACGCCGACCCGACGGTCGGTATAAAACCTTGCAAGAGCACGAGGCAAGCATGGAAATTCGTTCGTGCTGAAAATGTAATTCCGGACTGAAAAGGGCCAAAATACCAACGTAACAAGCTAATATTTGCTCTTGTCAACTTTTTTAAAAATTTAAAACATCACTGCTGCCTCCGTCGAACGAGTGACTAAGAATTTGTTCAGGTCCACGAAGAATAGACGAAATTCATTCGAAAAGCCTACAGCTTCCCCTGACCAGTCTGTATTTTCCTAACACTCTAAGAATCCCTTCGGCAGTCGCAGTTTACATGAAGCTGCGTAATGCCTTTCCGATGTCTCCATCGATGCTCCTTCCATGGGTTTTAAATACTTGCACCTGGCAAACGTTCCTTTCTTCTTCGTTTACATATTAACTATTCATTTATATGCCTTAGCCAGCTCCTCTCTCAGAGACCATTCACGTGCATAGACTTTATGAACTATATCTATATGTATACAGAAGGGACACTCTCGTGTCCCCTCAATCTTTGTCTCTTTTGTCTGCTACTTTTTTTTCACCTCTCGATACCACGGAATCCCATCCTCGGTTCGCTCTCGATTTTCATCCCTTTTCACCCAGCATCTGAAACTCCATTATATCGTCCCTCTATCGCTGTAACGCGTAAGCACGTTAAGCCTCGGGGCAGCTGAACTATTTTCTTTCCTATTCCGCCTGCCTTGGCGCTGCCTTAAGAAAAAGGATGTTGGTACCCCTGCCCGTGACTCTGATCTTTTCTGCGACTGGCTGGGTAACCTTGGGATGGTTGGTACGTATCCGTGCTCACGAGCATTCACGCCGTAACGAACCAGCCGGCAGTACGGTGGCCAAACGTTTCACATGTTCTTGGACCAAATGAGAACGCGTCCCTGGAAGGAGCAAGGTATAGCAGTTGGTACGAGGAGGGATGCTGCGATTGTTCATCCGCCTACTCTACTTTCTAGAAGGTAATGCAGAGCTGAGAAAAATCAAGCGGAAACCCATAGCGAAGTGGACTGGATAAGAATGAGAAATAAAAATAAGATAAGAGTGAATCCTAAGTAAATGGAGTGTATATGTAGGTATATGACGTAGGTATAGGATACTTACTGGATAGGTAGGTACTGGATACTTATAGTTTTCTATTCGTGTATATACGGTATACGGATATAGGCTTGTAGGTGGCCCCCAAGAAACTCAGAAGAGCTGAATAAAGTTCGCGTGATGAAAAAACATTTACCCCGGGTGAATTTGCGTTATTGAAAGTTTTATGCAAAATTGAAGGAAAAAAGAAATAAAAGGAGCTTCGCCAGACGTTGCATCGCCTGGAGGTAAGATAAAATCAGATAAAATCCGTCAAGTTTTCGCTACAGGCTGCTACGTCATTTTAAGTACCGGCCACCACGCACAGAGGGCAGGTCGATCTCCAAGAGCGGAGGATATACAGGGAGGTAAGTGAATCTCTTGAAATGTTTCATGCTGAATGGATTACAATTTTATTGTTTTTTTTTTTTTTGTTATAGGAGTCAGGGGGTGACCTCCCCTGACCATATACCATTTATCTCTTATCATTATTATCGTTTTGTCATGAAATATGATTTTCTTGGTTAAACGAACCTCAGCGGCAATCAATCGGCTATAGACACTTGAACGCGACTCTTATCTTCCTTTCTCTTGCTTTTAAAAATCATTTTCTTTATTTATCATTTCCTTCGTATTGGACGATTTGGTATCCACTTGGACGATTCATTGGAATTTATCGTTTATCACTTGTTCGTGTTTGCGTTTAATGGAAGACAGACGGATGCTGGTTCGACAGGGTGTGAATTTCGTATTAATTACATATTTATATACATTTGACCGTATGATTTGATCTGATTTTCTTCATTTATTAATTAAGATTGTTGGCAGATGAATACGAAAAAAAAAAAATTAAAAAGATTATACGTGGATTAAAGAGAAGGACGAATTTCAAAGTTATTCAAGTCAAGCTGTGAGGAAAAATTAAATCGTATCTTTTCAGTATAAATTATGCAATTTATGAAAATATTTGTATGAAAGATTTTTTTGAAACTTCGCATACAACACATTCCTTCGAAAGTCATTTTTGACACGTGTCAAAGACAGTACTTATCTCCCATTAGAGACTTTAAGGCTTTTCAAAAGTATATGTGCATTGTCCAGGTCGTATCTTTCCAAAGTTACACGTGTACTTTGGAAAGACTTTTTTGGAAGACAGTCTTGGTACTTATCAATGAGTATACGTATGATGATAAAAGAGTCAATATTTGTAAGACGCTTTCTTTGAAACATCGGGTCATTAGGATTTCCTTATACATTTTGATCTTAACACTAAATATATCGGCAATTTTTTATAAACGTATTTTTGGCCTTGAAATGGTCAAATGACCGGTCAATGGTACGTTTAGTCTTAATCAAGACCAGACCAACCGGCGTGTCTGAGCTGGGCTGCTGCAGTCTTAGTTAAGCATACTAACTTAATGCAATACAATTTTGCAGAAATTAATCAACGTTCTCTTCAGCGAGAGAGGGGCGAGTACGGGGTTAGTGAAGTCAGTAAGAGGAAGTAAAGGGAGATGAAAGATGGGCGAGAGGGTAGTGGTTTCAAAACAGATGAGAAGCTGGGGAAGAAATTGATAATACGTGGAAGCTGAAAAGAAAGCAGAGAGAGCGCAGGGGCGAAGGGGGGGAGAGAAGAATTAAGGAAGATGAAGGAAATGATGAAAAAATGGGAATGAGGTAAGACGTGGCTGGAGAAGAAACCCGGAAGGGAAGGTGATGGGCGGAAAAAAAGAAGGTGGTATTGAGAAAAGGGTTCTTGAGAGTAGGTTTAGGTGCTGCTCACCCTAGTTCCTGGTGCTCTAGATAATCCTTATCCTAGTTTTCAGGGGGTGATTGGTCTGACCTACCAGGGGATGCATTTTCCATCATTTGTACATCTTAGGATCCCTGGACAAGGTGGAAAATTTTTAACCACATCGACGATCCAGATATACTAGGGATTGTTTTCGGTTTTCACCAAATTCTCAGAACAGTAGGTTCAAATAATGATATCTTCAAAAGTCGAGCTAATTACATCAAAAGTTGAATTATCATTAATCACGAATCGATAACGATGATTCAAAACTTGTTGATAACCCGCAATAAGATTTTTTGAAAAGAGCAGATGAACAGGATCAGCACATTTTTTCAGCCGTCTAGTATTTCAAGATCGAAACGAGGGATAATGATTAGTCAATAGCAATTTTCCGTTAAATATTTTCGTTAAAGTAAAAATACGGGACAGACTTTTCCGAATAATTTTTTTTTTATTTCCACCCTAATAAAAATTCATTGACGACGTATACGCGTTATGAGATATTCTGCCATTGAAAGTACACCACTGACCTCCATTGAAACCAAATTAAATTACCCTCGTCCCATTCGCATGTAATGACAGCGAATTGGCTTGTTTGTATTTATAACAAAAAAATTTTTTCATCCCACCAGTTGTTTCGCTTAACAATGTCCTGCGTGGAATCCACAGTTTCATTGGTGTACGAACGGGAAGCTCTCATTGTAATATTGAAAACTAACAGACGGTTCGACAAAGCCGGTATAACGCAGTGGATCACTCCCATAGTCACGTGTACATGCATACAGAGGAAAAATAGGATCGAGAGAGCGACAAGGAAGGAACGAAAGAAAAAAAAAGTAAAAACTTGAATATTTCTTATACCGGCATTCATTGCGACAAACCCCCTGTAGCTTGCGAGTACAAAGAAATTAAACATCCAACCTCCTGCCTCTCCGCCAGCAATATGGCGTGTAATCAAACGGCACTGCAAATACGAGGACTCTACCGGGGATATCAAAACAGAAGAAATAGGTACGTATAATAACTTGGGTACCTGGGTTCGTTGGGCAATATACGTAGGTGCTCGTAATGCCCAAGCTTCGCCTCTATCCTTTTTGCTCTACTTCCGAAACACCTATTTTCTCCTTTATAACCTCAAAATATCAAGAACTGCACTTTTTAATCAACCGAATCGGAAGCTCCTTTGACTGTGATTGCTATCGCTGTTGTTGTGCTAATTAAAAATTTTATTCTTCCATGATCTTCAAACACGAGTATTTTTATCATGCTAATCTCGAGATAATGTTGAATCCTTTGTATGGATATTAAAAATATGTACCAAAAAGTGTGAGGGCAGTTTTTTTACCTCTTACTTATATGCAATCTTTTATGTTTGGTACTATTTAATTTATAACATATAAGTAAATAATCGAATCGTACCTTGCAAGCATAATGTGTGTGATAGGTTGTTTACATTCTAAATAAAAGAGGCGGCTGTTATTTAAATCTTTAAAAAATATCAGTCCCACGATTCCATAAGGTTTCGTCTTGTTTACTCGTCCGACTGCCACGCCGCGCGCGGCCTTTTTCCTTACTACTTACGAACCAGTGGAATGAGGATTTTCATTATTATCCTTCACAAGCTTGCGGTTCGCGCGAGAAAACCGCAAGGAGAACTAAAGGAGGGTCGGCGGCCGGAAGTGCTTTGCTCGGTAAATCGCGCGTTGATTTATGATCTCGTAAAGCCAATCCTGGGGAATTTCCATTTGGCGAGTCTTCCCACGCTAAAAACTTTGTTTATTGTTACGAATATCGTTTGTAAAACATGAATTGTGACTTTTCACGAGAATCAGTGGCTCCTTCGGTATACTTTGTTATATACATACAATGTGGTCTTTACCTTTTTACACTGACTGTACAATATAGCTCTGGGGCCATTACTCTTATCTGCGGATGCACCAAAGGCAAAAATATACTATGTCAGACACGCTCGGAATTCCTTTCG